TTTTTTCCCAAATTAGTGAGCTACAGAAGATTTTTTTTTAAAAAATTAAATTATCAATTGGGGTTTGGTTGGTTTTGGGCCTGCAGAAGTGGAGCAAGGGGAAACAAAAGGAGAAGGTGAACAATGCTGTTCTATTTGATCAGGCAAGCTATGATAAGATGCTTACAGAAGTCCCCAAGTATAAGATGATTACACCGTCTGTGTTATCTGATAGATTGAGGGTATGTTACTCATCCATTTTTCTTTCTGTTTTTCTTTCACGATTAAGGTAGTTTTAAAATTTCTTGTTTTGTTAAATGTATGTGTTATTACTTAGCTGATGTGATGCAAAGTCTTTACAAAATATCTGCTTGACCCATCTAGTGGTAGTTTCTATAGTCTAAGCTTAAGAATTTATGTGCCTATAAACGAAGTTTTCTGTTTTATTAAAGCTTGGCAGACTATGAGATTATGTTGAGAAGGGATTAATTTCCCGCTTATTATCTTTCTGTTCAAGGCCAATTTTTGTAAAGATATGGGTCAAATTTGAGAATTATTTCCATGTAGAAGTAAATTTAACATGTCATGCTTGACTTTCATTGGAGCGTTGAATCATCTATGGACAAAGCATGCGTGCAACTATGCGCATATGTCAAATTCCTCTACCTTTACAAGGTTTATTTTTTGGGAGATTTACATACATACCATCTTATACTACTCTATTTACATATTTAATACCTAAAACTTTAATATTACATACATACCACCCATAGTTCATTTTCATATCAAATATGAGTGGTAGAAAGGAAATATGAGTGACATATTTGATATTAAAATAATATAAGGTGGTATATATGTAATATTAATATTTTGAGTGTTAGATATGTAAATAGGATGATATAAAGTGGTATGTATGTAAATTTCCCTTGTTTGGTTATTGTTATCTAAGACTTCTTAGTTTGTAGTTGAACTCTCAGCCAACAGATCAAGGTGAGCTGCGTAGGTTCCTTGGAAAGTAATATCGTGTAACACTGTCCAAGGTTTACTTTTTTTGTATGGCTATATGAGTTATCCATCTAGTATTATTGGTATTCATGTTGTACTTGTTAGTTGGGAATGCTAAACCATCTATGCCTCGAGTTTAATAATGATATGTTGTATTAATTTGGTAGTTCATAGAATAGGGGAAATACATTATACAGATCATTAGCATGGTTGAATGCGTTACTAAGGTGAATTGTGTTGTTCAGATTCAAGAATTGAAGTTTGTCAAACATTTTTTTTCATGGCATGGAAAGTAAGAAACTGAACAGAAAGCATAGAAATCTTTTAGTTAAGCTGCACCAACATTGTGTAATGCATAGCTAATTCAGGTCTATATTTGGGCAACTGAGACGAGTTTTAAGTTTCTCATTTTCTTTTAATGATATAAGAAACATTTCTTACCATGAGAAGGGAGTATTGATGAGTCAGAGAGGGGATGGGGAGTTAGCTAGCAGGTGATATATCGAAAAAGAAAGTGATTTAGTATCTGAAGAATAGCTACTGATTATTAACCATCGAGTGAAGAAGGTAGCTAAAAATTAAGATGCATGAGTTAATCACTAAAACAAAATGATTTAGAGTTTGATCTCTACAAACTTGGCTATGGAATATTCACAGCTACAAATATGAATTTTTCTTACATTAGATTACCTTCATTAAATAAGCTCCTAAAGGAACGTTGTTTTTCTTACTAATACTTCATAGTCATGCAACACATCTTAAACATTAATAAAGATGAATATAAAACATAATTTTTTCCATGGGCAACAAGAACTTGATTGTGGATTATAATTGAAAATGCCCTTAGAACACTATGGTCGGGCCATGGCTTGATCAGGAAAAATTATTATGTTCAGTGTCCAGACATGTCCGGAGGTCAATCCGGACGCGTCATATACCCCAATGCACAGTGCATTGGTTGGCGTGGCACATCTAGATTGATCTCCAGGTTTCAAACACCGCATAGAATAATCTCTCTAGGCCTTTAAAAGTTGTCATTCTTTTTTCAAATTCCTCAATAGCAACCGCTTGTTTGAGTTTCCTTGCAAACTAATGATCTTCCACTATTTCAAGCTCTATCCACCAGCATCTTTGTATCCACCTCTATTGATATTACTTGTATCCTCCATGCCTTCTTCTGAAGTGTATATGTTTTGCTTTCAGATTAATGGATCATTAGCTAGAAGGGCTATCAAAGATTTAATGGCGAGGGGTTCAATCAGGATGGTTTCTGCGCACTCTGCCCAGCAAATTTATACAAGAGCTACCAACACCTAAACAATGTTCCGTTTTTGTTAGCTGTTTTTGATGATTATTAGTATTCTGTAACGAGGGAATCTTTCCTTTCAAGCGTCTGTCTGTTGCTACAGTACTTACCATTGAAGTTGTCTGCTGTTAGATTTTGATGGCTATTTCATTGCAAATTTGTGGGACAAATCTTTTCTTCTGCTAAACTTTTTTAAGCTTAGTTTTGGTCCATGGTTTATAATTTTATATGAGAGCATTCATATAATTGTAAGTTAAATCTGTTTGTCTTTATGAAAATTTTTGAATGGTAGTGATAAACATTACGAATCATATATCATGAGTAGGTTCTTTACCAACGCATTCACTTGACCTCTCCAAAATTTTGAGAACATTAACTTTCAATATTTTTATGTTCCCAACCATTAGTTTTCTTACATTTTAATCATATAAATATAATGTTCAAGTGTTTATATACTACATAATTTATATAATTAAGCTCCATAAATGTTTTCCTTTTCATGTAGCTTTTGGGATATGTATTATAATCTTAATTTTGACAAATTAAGGAAAATGGTATTCCATCTTGTAAGATTGGTGAAAAAATTATTTTGTGCAGACACTAATATCATTCGAAGATCAATAGAAATGAATCACGTCATCCTCTTACTATATCATGACTCAGTACTGTAGCATCCAAACGGAGAGTGGCGTTTGGCATAAGAGCAAATAATTTCTCATGATGATGAGACTTGCAATGCTTTATGGGGTAGAAAAAGTTATGGTTAAAAAATGTTAGAAAAGGTATTTATTTATTAGATTTAAATGAGAATTTTTTTTAAGAGGGTTAACTGAGCAAGCCAACCCTATAACATTCATAAATTATGTCGGCCATATGTCTTAATAATCATACAACGCCCATTAATTAAAAGATATGCGTGGCATGCATAGCCAACTGACCCTTTTAAATGAGAATTTGATCTTTAACAGTACACAATGAAGAAAAAAGATTATGTAGCCGACCCCATTATATGAGATAAAGATTTGATATTATTGTTGGTATTCCATCAGACACATCTATAATATAAACCACTTAAAATCTAATCAAATGTCAGCGAATTTAATTAAAAAACTTAAGCCATGGAGCGTGATTTTTTTTAAAAAACTCACATCAAATTCAAATTTAAACAAATTCAAGACTGATTCCTTAAAAGGCCACAAAATACTGAACATAAAACAATTTAAATACCGATAATACAGCAAAGGATAGCTCCCTCTTCTTTGGTCTCTCTCTGCTTAGTTTGAAGTGGTAGTGGATTCAGTGTTGTTTGAAGCAGCAGTTGAAGCAGCTTCTCTAACACACTGTGAGACATATGGCTTGAGCTGCAGAGTAACAACAGCCATGAAAAGAAATGTAAATAGGTCAAAAATCAAATCAAGCATAAATGAAAAAGATAATAGCCAGATGTGGTTAAAAAAAATCTCCATGGTAGCTTCAATCAGTGGACAACTCAGCCAGAAACTTACAATTTTCATCGAATCAACCAATTTGAATTGAGTTTCAAGAGAGTTGAACTCAAAAATATTTTGAATGGTATTAGAATTTTTTATAACTTAATAAAAAATTGATTAAAACAATATAAAAATTAATTATATTTGTAGTTAATCAATGAGCAGCCATTGGAACTGGTGGTCTACATTTGGTTTATTACAAGTCTTTAGCATATCGAGCTTAGATTGATCAAATTGACTTAATGGCCACAAGGCTCCACCACCAAGGGAATGACAACTTGTGCTGTTAGATCTTGCCTAGTTGACGACTCGCTTTAAGAAGCGTGCCTTGACCAAACTTTGACATTTCAGTCAGAGTCAGCAAGTGACGTGGTTAAAGTGAGGAGGATTAGTAGGCTAAGGCTTAGTTTGGGAGGGCACTCTTATTGCTTCTTAAAACAGTTTTCTAGTATAAAAATTATTATTTTTATATTAAAAGTTTATTTTAAGAAGCAATAAGAAAGCCGTTCCAAACGAAGCCTAAGTGAGAAAAGGTACCCTACATCCTAAATGATTGCTAGGGAAGGATAAAGTCTAGATATATTGTGTAAAACATGTAAAGCATGAAGGAAATCAAGTGTACCGATAGGTGTGTGAGATATGAATACTTGAATGCATAAAATGTTTGCAAGAAATAAAGATTATATTGAATACTTGAATTAAATTATATTTAGTGGGCTAACAAGTCCTGGTGGAAGCACTCTCATTAATTGATAATTGTTAGACTCTACAAGTAGTCTAGCTCTCGAACGACAGGATTGACAGTTCATGATGCAGGAACTTATAGATAAGTTACATCTAAGAAAACTAACAAGTCATAGCATCCATATTGCAAATGGCTTTATACCATCTTGTCCCTCTCACTTGCCACCATCGCCTTGCTTCTTTTGCCGCTATGTTATAAAACTTTACAATTATTGTTTCATATATTTCCATTGAGGTTTCTTAGAGTTATCTCACCAAGTGTGAGTTGGCACATCGTGTTTAAAAGATGAAAAGTGAGTAAAATTTGATTGTTGATTATTGGGGTTGACAGTAGTGTTAGTGTTGACCTAGAGCCAATTAAGAGAACAATATCAAGCTTATATTAACAATGAAAGTTTAAATGAATTTTAAATATTAACACTGCCGTTGCCAAGTCCCAAGTCCTGAATGAGAAAAATGAAGGGTTGCGTTAGGTAGTCGACAACGAGCATAAAACTTATTGAATACTCATGACATGACCGGACCCACATAGTGGAACAAAGGCTTGATGTTGTTGTTGTTGTATACTTTAAATGTTTTATTTGATCGAATATTATTGATGCCTTCTAGAAAACATCCAAGTGGGAATGGAAAAAAGCAAAGGTGCCAACTTTTGGTCACCATCTCATGGTCGACATGTTTAAATCGATAAATCAGGAGTGTCAATAATATCAAGCTTATACCAATAGTGTGAGAATAATAAATTTTGTATTTAAATTTGATTGTATCTCTTGGATACCTATGATGCACCGACACTTCTCCTCGAAGAGGCGTGCAGTGTCCGACACCGTGTCCGACACGACACTCGTTCGACACTCCTTCGACACGTGTCGGACACGCCGAAAACGTGTCCGATTAAAAAAATATTAAAAACAAATTGGACACGCGTGTCTGACACGCGTATCTTAAATATTTTATAATTTTTTTAAAATATAATTTCTTATATTTGACGAAATTTAAACTAAATTTCTTATTTCATATCCACAACACCAAATCAACGTCTGCATTTAATACCCATTCATCGAATATTCTCATTTTCATTTCTCTTTGACAATGAAGGTATTTTCATCTTCTATCTTTTTGCACAATTACAAATCTTTCTCTTGTTGAACCAGAGTTGAAAGTAGTGATATTCAATGATGATGATATTGAAGGCCAAAAACAAACCTCTAAAGCTAATCCTAGTAGTTGAAGCTTGAATGCATGATGTTATAGTAAGTAATTATTTGCTTATATTTTTGTGGTTATACTAGATATTTTGTATTAAATATTTTATATTATAAGCTAGACAGGTTATCGTGTCATTCATTTATTATTGTTTGTCATTTTTAATATGATATTACATTAATATATATACACTATATAAAAAAATGTATTGTCGTGTCCGCGCCGTACCCGTGTCCTATATTTTCAAAAAAAACCGTGTCCCGTGTCCGTGTCGTGTCGTGTCCGTGTCGCCGTGTCCGTGTCCGTGCAACATAGTTGGATACCTTCTGTGGGAATGGGTAGATGGGAGAAGCCGCCAACAACTCAGGCTCCATCTCATGATTGAGGGGTTTCAAGCACCAAATCAAAGAGGCATTGATAGCTGGGAAAAAAGTCCCTAGTGGTTGCCACTTGCCACTACCCCCAAGTGTAAAAGTTTTGAACACTTAGACATGTTACACCAAGTAATTTGGGCTGATCGGGTTGAAGGTGACATTACAAAAATTGATATCAGAGCAAAAGACTCAAGTTAACATCATTTGTCTAGTTAAGAGAGTGCAGGTACAACATTATGACATGCTAAATTTGATAAGTAATACCATTTATTAAATAAACTTTTTTGCTTATTTTCATTACCTATACAAAGCCGACCTTAACTCAAGAATTATGAATACTTGAATGCAGGAAATGCATGTGACCATTAGCATGAAATATTTGTATGAAAAAATGTTTTAGCTTGAATTCTTTAAATGAATTATAATAGTGGGTCGATAAGTCCAAGTGAAAATACTCTCATGAAATGGTAGTGTTCAGACGCTTAGAGTGCATCAACTCGCTAATGAGGGGATTGACAGTCCTGAGGCACAACGTCAAAAGAAGTTACACCTTAAAACGTGACAGTAACTGAGAATTTAAAACTACATGTTTGTTGCAGAAGGCTTTATGGTAACTAGAGGTGCAGAATGAATGCTAGTTGAAGGGAGGGAGAGCTAAGAGGAAGGGGGAGAGAAGTTATAATTTAAAAAATGAATTCCTATTTTAAGGAATATAATTTCACATATTCATATACTTTAGATATGAAATTTACTCTTTCGAATATGTGGGGTGGGGGTGAATTGGTAATTTAAAAAATACTTAACAGAAAAACATATATATATATATATATAGAAAATGATTGTTAAGCCCATATAATTTTTTAGAAAGGAAGAGTTATAAAACTAATAACAATCACCTGAATCCAAAATAAAACAACATTTACAGATTAAGCTATGCATATGTACGAGTCTAACAACTAAAAAGTGCTTCTGCACTGTCATCCATTTATGTGCTTAAGAAAGCATATGGACGGTTTGGTTGAGGAAATATGTGAGTGCAAAATATAAGAAGGTGTGCTACCAATGGAGAAGTGTCTGTGAAGAAGATCTTCACTATAAAGAAAGCATCTAAACCTGACTTTTCAATGTAAAGTAAATGAGCCATATTGCCACTAATTTATCCTAAATTTACAATAAGTGGATCCTGCATGAGGGCATTGGAGCCATATTAATTTGTATTAAGCCAAACATCTAAGGTAAAACAGATAAGTGTACTTACGGTTACCTTCAAATGCATGAGTTTTGTTTAAACACAGTTGATTAGCCACTTGGTAAGTCTTAAGGTTTTGTTTAGAGCATCTCCAACCGAACATCAAACATGCCTATGGCATCGTTCAGTCACTCTAGCCGAACGCCCAATCTTCAACAACAGCCAGACGGATGCAAAATACAACATTCCGACTTAGAATGACCTAAGGATTTACACTTCAAGCAATACAAAGGCAAATCCTCCAAAGTGCGACGTTAATATTGGCGTTGTACTGTTCAACAACGTCATTTTTCCTGTCTCAACCAGATTTGCCGAAGAAGCGTGCCAAAGAAGAAAAAGACTGTTACCTTCGCAGAAGCCCACATAATGGAGTTCGATTGGAGATGATTCACGACATTTTTTAGTTTCACTACATTTTGGAGTGAAAAATGGAATTTTTGGTTGGAGATGCCCTTAACACAGTTGGGTCAACGTAGTTAGAATCATGCATGAAACTGGGCAGTGCAATGTTTGCGGAATAGGTTGTAGATGCCATTAACGGGTCAGTCAACCAAAAACCACAGCTAAAACATGTAATCTAATTTTGTGTTTAGTCTCAAACACTGATAACACTCTAAGTTAATTCTAAAATGAACGCAAATAAATAGCCATATGTCCTGATGATTTGTTTAACAAGAAGAATTGGCTACTGATAATAGTAATTGAATTACACTTGAAACTGCCGATTGGAATTACCTTGAAGTCAGTTAGATCAGGGACAACATAACGAGGCAACTTCTCATCCTGCACAACATAGCCGCCTGCTCCAAATGTTGCATTGATTATAATCAAGTGAAAAGTATTTCAACAACATCCAAAAAGCATGACAAAAATTTAGTTGTATAATTCTTGAGTGATTAGATTAAACCAAAATCCAAAAACTAGATAAACAAAGACCAGTTCAAGAATAGCTCCAGCCAATATCAAAACAAGCTTAAAAAGCAGAACCATCTGATTTAAAAAATGAACTGATATCAATTTGATAGGAAATACTTGAGTTCGCAAGCAAGGTAAACAAAAACATTTTTTTTTTCTTTTGGAAATAAAGAAAAGGAAACAAAAACTAAATCATATGTTATATTGTCATATATGTACCATTTATATATACAATCACATTCGTCCATCCCCTATCAAGATATTTTATTTAACTTTAGTTTAAATGCAAAGTGAGAAAGGAGAAACATGTCATTAATATGTATTATATATATTAACATGCAGTGTTAATCGAGACACAAAAGTCAAGAATGTGCATTAATATATTACTTAAAAAAAATAAATTAAGTCACCAAAGCGTCGTATAAACGTTATATATGCAAAGGCAAGAAAATTTTCATTTATTCTTTTTTACCCTTTATGATAATATTGTGCTGAATGTCGTGAGAGAGAGAGAGAGAGAGGGTAGTATGGCTCCAACGACCAAATTACGTGGAAACGAAGGAAGCTACAGTTAAACCTTAGTTTTTTTATATTTTGTTCGGGGAAGGAACAAAGGTTGTACTAATTTTTATAAGTTCTTTAAAAGCATATAATTTATTAAAAAATAACTATATTTTAATTATATATACATACATAGATA